TGTATTATAACAACCCAGTATATTATAACTCATGAAGTATATCATACTATGTTTCAAACTCATTATTAACAACTCATAGTAACCCACTAAATACCTAATAAAGTATATTACATTATATACATGTACTATGTTTAAAATTGTCTATACCTACAGTACATGCCTTATAAATAGCTTATATCATAGATAATCTTAACCCAGTTTCTGGACCATCACACCTTAAAATGTGGTCAAGGTATCTTAAAACTATTCAAACTATTCAGACAATTCAGACAATATGACAAATATTGGTGTCAGTAGAAGAATATAATTACTATTTTAAACCTACCCAAACTTATAGCCCACGTGTTTTACTATTTATTCAATAAATACTAACATGGACTAACAGCTTATATTGACCGGCTAACTCGTCACATGGTGTAGTCACTGGATGCAGAAACTATAAAACCTTGAATAACATTAATACATGTACATGTATAACCTCATCTTCCAAAACAGTATTCAAATAGAGAGGGAGTCAACACAAACCAGGTCATTTCGGGACTAGTGAACCCGCGGACTAGTGAGCATTCCCCCTCAATGTGACTTCAATGATTTTCAATTCAAGGTTTAATTTTTTGCAAAGAAAAAAAAAAAATTTGTTGAAAAACCATGATGAATGATAATAAATTGTGAAGTTGTAATCAACATAATCTAGCCCACCTTCCCCAGTATAAAGTCTACTTTACATAACCAACAAAAAAAACCTCAACAAAATGGATGCTATTATTTTTTATGTTGAACTTGTAACCTAAATAACAAGTGAATTGGAAAATGAGTGTGTACCCGGAATTATATAACATATTTAGTTGGTAAGACTATTTCTGACCTAGGTATTATAAGTACTTCAACGTTGGTGTGCAGACACGGTTACAGGTTAAACGTAAACAACTATTGTCTGTCTGCTTGACAATATGTCTACAGCAGTATTACCTACTTAAACAATAGGCCTATAATAAAGACAGGGTTCTTATCCTTTTAGGCTGAACAAAGGAATTAATATCAGGGGTCGTAACAGCCCTTAAGTTTGTTCATAATCTGATTATCTATTTATAAACAACTTTGCCGTCTGCTTCTACTGACCACACACATAGATTAAGATGGTTGTGGTTCAGATATTAAGTAGAGAGGTCTGTAATATCAACTCTCTGTCTAAGAAATGTCTGTCTATACATTGCTAATGTCCGCTTGAGAGTTATGTATCATAATGTGTTAGTCCTTTAAACATACATTATGCAAGAGCTAAATCTGCCTTTTGCAGGTCTTTCTTTAGGCCTGAAATGTTTTCTAAATTATTAATTAGACATTCATTAACTTATCCAGGCCATAATCAACTCTCGATGGCATCAGATTTCTCTGATATTAAATAGATTAATATTTTGATTTAAGCTAAAAATAGTTAAAATTATTGCATACATGTACGTCTTGTCAAACCGCCAAAGGCTAATTAATATCTTCACTCGCAATAGAGTAATTTGAATGAAATTTTCAATTTATTCATTTTACATTATCTATTTTTGAGCTGTTATAGCAAGAATGGTCAGCTCTTTATCTAAATCTTAAATAATGCCTCTTTAATATTAAAATAAATATGCACAGTTTATACAAAATCCCCACTTCAAACTTAATCCTCATAAAGTGTTTGTGTACCGTTCATTAGAGTGTAATGGACGTCTATCCTAAAGGCGGCTGTATCATTTTTGTCAGCAAACAAATGCTCATCTTCGAACTCCATCAAGGCATTGACCTAATAAACACATACACCAAGTTTGAACATTCTAGCTCAATTAGGAAGAGAGTTATTGTGTCCCAAAAAGTGTGACGGACAGACAGACGGACAGACAGACAGACAGACAGACAGACAGACGGACGAACCCATTTTAATAGTCCCCTGCTTTCTTCGAAAGGCGGGGGACAAATATGGCAGCAGTACCATGCCAGTTGACTGAATGACAGACGTTATGATACAGCGCGCACCTGCTAACCATTTAACCCCAACCTCCTTGTGACAAACAAACCCTGTTATTCAAATGTGATATTTCTTTTTATCAGCCGTAATATAAACTTCAAGGCTACGACAATATAACTCCTTTAACAATTGTTTGTGTACCTTTATTCAAATGTGACATTCTTTTTTTTTTCAGCCCTTACAAGAGATAATCTAAACTTGAAGCCTACCATTAAATAAATTCTTTAAAAGTACCCTGTGTGTGGGTGATATAATCTAGGTCGAACTGTGCACGGAAGACTGGATCTGGGTGATACAGCTGGGACTCTGGAGTGGGGGAGGGGGGAAGATTCTTGAAAATATGAAGAGATTTTTTTAAAACTTTGATTATTGATTCGCCGTTGCATAAAATCCTCTTCATTTATCCATGTACATTCTCCTGGCATTTTTACAATTCAGACCTTGATTAACGCGAGTGAATTCCCCTACTTGTGTCTTGTCAATCAACGGTACGCTACCTTAGATTGGTCACCAAAAGATGGGTTTTTTTGCGTAGAATTCATGTGATTAAAAGATACTTCATTGATTGGTCGAAAAGAAAATGTCCCTGTAAAAGAATTCCATCGAAAACCTGAGTCAAACCAGAGAGTAATCAATTTAAATTGAACAACTAGAGAATCTATGTTGCAGCAGAGAGAAAAAAAACCATTGACAGTTATTTTAAGTTCCCGTTACAAAATTTGTTTTAGTCTACTTCTTCCAGTATCTTTATAATTCTATATTCAAATATTAAAACCTCTGAACGTAAATTGCGGGATTTCTAATCTCCTGTGAGATACAGTGTACAACATTGTGAAAGATGAATCCCTAATATGAATATCAAACCAAAAATAATTTAATTTGGTTCAGTATTTTCTAAGATATATTTTAATGTTAAAATCTCTGATAGTCATATGAGGGATAGGGGAGTCCCTTGCAAGCTACAATATTATGAAAGGTGAATCTCCAATAGAAATATCAAACCAAAAATAGTTCAATTTGGTTCAGTAATTACAAAGTATGAAGAATTAAAAATTTGTCACTATTCTGCATCCATTGAAAACGATACATGTATGTACATGTAGTTTAATTAACAAATTCAGCCAGTCAGGTTTTATTTAAATCAGATTTTCTACTCTTTGATGTTTTGATTTTGTTTTTCTTGGGTGCAGGCTGTTTCGTAACCTGACTGTTTCATAGTCATAATTAGTTCATTCGTACCTTTCCCTAGATGTTTTTGAAATAAATTCAAATAAATTGAAATACGTTGAAAGAAATTGAAATAAAGGTGAAACATAATTAAATGATTTGATTAAATTCCAACTGCAAAGTGAAATTTATAAAAATGGCTGCACTTAATTTTTACCTCAAATTGATACATACTTTTTGATTAAACCATTCAAAGTCCATTTAAAAGTTCTTTTGAAATTTACCATGGTACGAAACAACTCATGTGAGGTACGACTGAACTAAGTACGAAACCACCAGGTTATGAAACAGCTCGCATTCGTTTTTCTTAATTAAATGTTAAATAACTGATGTGAGAATATTTTAGCAGTAAAAAAATTATTTACAAGTTCTGTTCGAAAAATTCAAATAACAATCAGAGCTGTTAATATTTGAGACAATCTCCTCGCACTGTTCCTTTTTTTTCTGCGGAAAGAATTTAATGTGTCAAGGATTGATTTTTAAAAGGTTTATTTGCTTATGGACAAAATCTTAATGAATTGATCAATTTTCACGATTTATATTATGACCAGTTTCTAGGAAACCTGATAGCCCGCCTCACAAAATTTGGGTTCAACTACTGTGTTTATAATTCATGTGTAGTAATGATATACCCCACCCATATTCATATTATCCTACACATTTCTTTACATTGTATTATAATTATTAATTACCCGGGCAATAATTAAAATATTGCACAGCGTTAATGTTTAATATGTACAGGATAGTATTAAATAGTATCCTGTATCACATTCCCCAAAATTCTCAATCAAAATTATTTTTGAAATGCTGGATAGTATAGTATCCTATGTCACGTTCCCCAAAATTCTCAATCAAAATTATTTTTGAAATGCTTGATAGTAAATAGTATCCTATATCACATTCCCCAAAATTCGCAATCAAAATTATTTTTGAAATGTTGAGGTTCACAGGCTTTCCCTAATGAAGCCAATAATGTGGGTGGGGTTGGGGGTTACATATCTAATATTTAACAAAACCCTCTCAAGATCCCCTTTCTCCCTTCCTCAACAAATAATATATCACCACTGAAATTGGATAATATTCAAGTATTGAAAATACTGTAAGACTATACAGAGCTAGCGTAAAAAGGAAACAAAAATTCTTAAAAAAGAAAACTCAATTTCCAAACCTGTCAAATTCATGCATAATATATAAATAAAATACACAGAAACTACATGGCATGTTGCCAATACGGAGACAACATGCTACAAACTTGTAACTAACTCGGTCAAATATTGCTGTATAGTAAACACTCAAAACATGAATAAAAACCACAAGGACAACCTGTACAGGTATTAGAGTATTTTCTGGAAATTGAAATGAATATTACTCCAGTTAATAATCCCACCATTTCATGCATTTTGTATCTGATGAAAGTCGACATTTTATGGGATTTCAAAATTTATGTTGTCTATTTCTGTGTAATCTATCCTGTTATTTTTTATATTTTCAATTTTGTGTTAAATAATAAAATTTGTAGTGTGATGAATACCTCAATTTTGTGTTTCAGTAGCAATGAAAAATAGTAAAACCTTAGATATTTTTTTTTTCGACAAATAAATATCAAAAATTATTCGGTACAAATGCAGGAACGTGGTTCCCGAGACATATTTGCATTGCAATCCTTTTTTAATTCAATAAACACTGATGGAAGCTAGATAACACGTGCGATAACAGTTCTCCATGCATGCACGATGTTATAGCAGTTAATATGAATTCTTTCACCTACCTGTTTTCGTTTAAATTTGTTGCCAGGGTCAAAGCGTGCTTTCATATGTTCCATGGCATCTTGGAGCTTTTCTCGCCCCTCTTGGTATTTGGCTAACAGAAGGTAAGCCCTCCAATTCGCCGAATCGAAACCCCAGTGACAGGTTCGATTTTCGAGAGCTTTGTGAGAATGACACACGAATTTCGATGGACTGAAGAGTCCGTTACAGTCGACACATTGAATACACTTTGCGTCCGGTTCGACATAAAGTTCGGGGTGAAAGATCCCCTTACATTTTCCAAAACATTCATGATAAACTTTAAAACTATTCGGCGAAGGGGGGTCGGAGTATTTTTCGGGGCTACCGTGTAATAAAGCATTACAAAGTCTTTCTGCGTCCGTTTTGGTTATAAGTCCACAACTCGGAGCTGTAAATGGTAAAATAGCCGTCAGTTTCAGAGTTTCTAACTGCTCGTGATTACATCTCGAACAGAAGATGTGTAGTTCGTCACACACGGTGTTTATTTGTTGTAAGGTAAAGTCACGCAACACTGTATTTAAAATTTGAGGGAGACACAGTCTTTTTTCTCCCCCGACCATAAAACAAGCAATTGTTTCTCCTTCTAAAATAGTCTCGGATTTGTCACTGCGAGAAGTATCTACGGGGGTGAATACCGGCATTTGTTGTATAGGAAAAGGTGGAGGAGCTAGAAATGGGTCATAATCCATGCCCTTGTCAGTCGGTATCTTCTTGACGCTAGCCATTGCTTTACGATATTCCTCTATGTCACCGGCACTCATTTTCGACAAATCACTAATAATAGAATATCCACTAGGTCCGCTTAGACTTCTTATAGCCGCTGTTTGATAACTCTTCAAAACCCTCTGTAGATGAGGGTTTAGAGTCTGCGGAACCCCTTCATCCATCAAGAATGCGCCTAGACTATGCATGAAAACTTCGCGGATCCTCCGCACCGCCACATGTGTAGTACCGATCACATCCGCTCCGCTACTGCCTGTCTTGTCTCGACCCCAGCATAAATATTTGGCTTTGCAGTTAGTCGAACGTCACCAACCGTTAACTGACCTAATTTACCGGCAGACGTGATTTATGGAATTATAACGCATGCTAGATACTATGTTATTTCATGGAAAGATGTGAGATGCTGACAAAAATGTAACAAATTAGCGAATCCGAAGAATATAAGCTAATATGAGTTATTACGTGATAAATATGCCGAGACTGCGGATCGGCTGTTCCCTTCTCCTCCCACGGAATATTAAGTTGTTTACCACATTGAAACACGGTTAACAGTTAACAGCACGCGTTTGTGTGTAATATTTTATTCTAATATATTCTGAAAGATTTTCATTGAAGAGGCCCTATATAAGAAAATATTCAGCATCTGTTCAGGATTTTTGTTAATAGTAACATTACTACACGTTTAATGCGACTCCAGTAGTCAGGCGGCTTGATCAAAGGTGTCTGGGCTGTGACGTCACCATGACGTCGAGACGTCTACAGTGTCAATCGATTGGGGTTACCTCAGCCACAAGGCGATTGGCGCCGTAAATAGCGCGAGGACAAGTCTGGCCGTAGCGACCAGTTTGACCCGAAAGGAACTCTCCGAAGAATGGACTGGTCAGCGAATTAAAGGCGAATGTCATTCTTGTTTGAATTACGAGTAAAGCTCTTGAAGTTTCTATCACTGTTGTTGTTTTTCTATCAACCCAACAAACCCCTACCGTATTTATTTATATTAGGTGTGTGTTGATATGCAAATAAAATTTATGTTTTGTTTTTTTTTTAAAATAAATTTTCATTCACGATATATTAACAAAAATGGCTTAATTCTTTGATATAACAACCCATTAAAACAATTCAGGTTTATTTTTTATATGGTGAACAAAAAACAATAACCTATTTAAAATAAGATAAATATCATAAGTTTAATTTTTTTTTTTTTGTGGCGTTGTTTTGGGAAAAAAAAGGGTATTAAAACAATGATACAGGATGTGAAATATCAAATAAACGAACTTGATGGACCTAAAGGTGAAGCCAGTACATTGTATTGTTACCATTAGTCAAAGTCCCGGAACTCTCACATGACCGATTGGACCGAATGACAGGGACAATATCAGACTCCTCTTGAGACAAACGAACCGATTGGCTTGCGGGTGAGACTGCTTTGTGTAAAAAGGGCACTGGTAGTTGATGGACCGGTCAAACCCTTTGATGTAGGTATATATAGACTTATATACGATTATTTCCTCTCTCTCTCTCTCGTGTGGGGTCTAGCCTTATTTAACCTTGAATAACGCGGTTAATAGATGATTGTTTTGGGCACAGTGAAAGTCTGACGTGTTGAATGTATTGCCCACTTGTCAAATTAGGCCGACCGCTTTAACAGTGAACTTGTGAAATTTATCGATATAACGGTCCGGGTACACACAGGCAAAACTACTGTATTACGAAATACAACTTATCACGCATTTAATTGGATTAATCAGCCACAAGGAGAGAGGGGACGGTTGGGGGTGCAGCATCGCTCCCGGGCTTATGAAGCTTCAGAGGCCCATACATGTCTTGATTTGTTTTGTATAGGAGTGTGTTTTGGGGGATTTTGTGTGTATGTGTGTTTTTTTTTGTTTGGGGGAGGGGGGGGGGGTCTTTCTCTCCAGCACATAATTAATACCTAACGGGGGTTTAAGGGCCGCTGTCACCCATGGCGTTATCGCAGTGATAAGGCATGCTTCCATATATTATATATTTAAAGCCATTGTTTACGTGTTTTGACTTCTGAATTTATTTTTATTTTTATTATACGTGTAATCTCTCTACTTAATTAAATATTCTTGCAAATGTGTAAATTGTAATTACTGAATTAAATTGTGTATAGCATGCCAATTAGTGTTTATTATATCAAATATACAGTGCGATATGTCACACTTTTGTAACAGGTATTGTCGAATGATAATATGCACGGTATATAGGGTTATATTGATTATTGTATCGATCTAGGTAATATTATATATATATATAGATGAACTGAGAGAGAGAGAGAGAGAGAGAGAGAGAGAGAGGGAGGGAGGGAGAGAGAGAGAGAGAGAGGGTCCACCCGACACAAATTAGGTCATTTTGGGACTAACATATGGTTCAATCGTCATATTTAATTAAAGAGAGAGAGAGAGGGTGAGTGAGATGGGATTTAATTTCAATAATTCGCTTGCGCACAGGGGCTTTAGCAGTGGGAGAAAACCGGAGGACCGGGAGAAAACACACGAGGTTGGACAGTGGATGAAATTAGATTTAATATCCCTTTTCACTGCTGCAACCGGCCCAGTGTATGGGCACACTGTATGGGGTATGCCCGACTTCATTAGCCCAGTCGGCGCAGAACAGTAGGGCATTAAACCTCAGTTCATTTCACAAACGCCCCCCCCCCCCCCCCTTGACAGTTGATATTCAAAATGGTAAGGGTCTTAACTAGGACGTTAAACCCCATTCCATTTCATTTCACCAACGGCCTCTTTGAATGATTGGGGGGGGGGGGTTGAATGGTTAGCACCTGCGCGCTGTACCATAAAGTCTGACATTGAGTCGACTGGCGTGGTTTCGAATCCCCGGTTGTACGTGACAAGGAGTAGGGTGGCCTGTCCAACCTCGTGGGTTTTCTCCGGGTCCTCCGGTTTCCTCCCACTGCTAAAGACCCCTACGCACAAGCGAAATATTGAAATAAAATTGAACCATATGTTAGTCTCGAAGTGACCTAGTTTGTCTCGAGTGGACGTTAAACCCCATCTCTCTCTCTCTCTCTCTCTCTCTCTCTCTTTGAATGGTTGATAACTTCTGTATATTATGTATAGACTTAGTGTAGTGTATTTCTAAATATAGATTTTTTAAATGTATGGATTTTATGTCGAGATGTTTTTAAGTGAACGAGCGTGACACGGACGGACGTTATATACGAACTGGGGTAATTACAGTTCACCAAATGGCTAAACTTTTCATACCTTAAATACTCATATACTCGGTGTCTTGAACTCTATATATACCGTTATGTTATTATTATATCAATATCAAAGCCTCGACCGCAGCCAGCTGCACTGAATGACTCATGGCACGTGAGCTCGTGCTTGTATATCTTTAGTCTGTACATTTCAATAAGTTAAGATAGTTGTGTTAATTTCCTGTTCAGTGTTTTAAATCAAGACACATGATGTTCGTGCACTCTTTACTCCCCACCACTCACGACGACATCATCAGTATTAATGGCGGTATCATTCATCATTCTTAACCCCTTCGTTCCATAAGCCTTGTAGGCTATATATATATATATCATCTTATCTACATTCAGTCGTAACCTACATCAATCTAAATCAACATCTTTATATACATGTCACGAAACCTTTTAAATTCGCTAGGTGGGTAAGAAGCTGGCTCGCTAGCCTGGAGGTCGGGTGTTCAATCACTGCATTGGCCGAGAAAGTTCATTCAGATTTTCCAGCATGGTCCCCCCTTTGTCAGTGAAGCAGGATGAAGGGCCTGACAAGGATAGCTGTCTAGTCGTTCGGATGGGAAGAAAAGCCGAGGTCCCGTGTACACATTGGCGTGCACGTAAAAGATCCCTTGATAGTTGGAATTCGATATAAGAGTAGGTCATAGTGCCGCTGTCCGGGTAAAATTTCCCTCGTAGCCCACTGTAGTCTATGATAGTAGGACGTTAAACCCCATTTCATTTCATTTAAATTAGTGATGGGGAGTGGGCGCAAGTTCGAGTAAGGTTGTCTGTCCAACCCTTGAGTTTTCTCCGAGTCCTTCTACTGCTATAAAGAATCCCCGGTTGTACGTGACAAGGAGTAGGGTCGCCTGTCCAAGCTCGTGGGTTTTCTCCGGGTCCTCCGGGTCCTCCGGTTTCCTCCCACTGCTAAAGACCCATATGCGCAAGCGAATTATTGAAATAAAATTAAACCATGTGTTAGTCCCGAAATGACCTAGTTTGTGTCGAGTGGACGTTAAACCCCATTTCTCTCTCTCTTTCTACTGCTATAAGACCCCCATGCACAAGCGAGGTATGGAAATAGAATTGGACCATATGTTAATCCCGAAATGACCTAGTTTGTGTCGAGCTGACTTTAAGATTTCTCCCTATAGATACACGTGACGAAGCATTTTAAATTGGTGATGACGTATACCTCAAGCGATAAAAAAAAATAAATGGGGTTTAACCTACCCATTAAAAATGCATTATACAAGAGCTAAATCTGCCTATTGCAGGCTTTTCTTTAGGTCTGAAATGTTATATAACCTATTAAACATACATTATGCAAGAGCTAAATCTGCCTATTGCAAGTCTTTATTTAGCCCTGAAATGTTATCTAAATTATTAATTAGACATTAATTAACGTATTCAGACTATAATCAACTCTCGATGCCATCGCTAGCCTACGATATTTAGTGGATTAAAATATATTTTTAAAAAAAAATAATTAAACATAAAAATGGATAATCGAGACATTGTTTTTTTTTTATCGTATCGACTTTAGTAATGATGATCCAGGCTAGCCTAAAACTTAAAAGCTAGTATCTCAGTTCAGAGTTGAGCAATTTGACATTCTATTTACGTTATCTATTTTTGAACTATTATAGCGAGAACTGTCAACTCTTTATCTAATCTCCTATAATGTCCCTTTTAATGGTTCACCGCTCCAATGTTTTGTTCTGAATAATCTTGCAATCAAATTATTGCCCACTGAACCACCGCGGCGCGCATGATACAAGATCTTTGTACGATCTGGAAAAAATCTTTCCGTGTTTATACCCGCAATTCTAACCCTAACCCACAATCTTCCGTTTTTACAGCTTCAATTTGTACGTTTGACATGTAATTTGTAAACCTAACCCTAACCCTAGAGAAAGATATATGACGCCAGACTTGAAACAGGCCCGTAACTAGCGGGGGGGGGGGGGCAAAAAGTTTCGCCCCCGCCCCCCTGTGAAAAAGATGTCGACCATAAAAACAATAGTTATACGTTGTCCGTCAATTTTACAGTACATTTCCCGCCCCCTCGTTGCTCTGAGCT